GAACAGACCCCCCATACGTGCCCTGGACACCACCTCTGCCCGCACTGAACAGACCCCCTATACGTGCCCTGGGCACCACCTCTGCCCGCACTGAACAGACCCCCATACGTACCCTGACCACCACCTCTATCTGCACTGAACAGATCCCCATGTATGCCCTGGACACCACCTCTATCTGCCCCACATTTCCCTGTGTGAGCCCTGAACCCTACCTATATTTGCCCCAAACTCACCCTGAGCACATCACCTCTAGGTCCCTGAAAGCATCACCTACAGGTGCCCCAAATACACCACCTATATGGGCCGCAAACAACCCCGCAATGCCCCATACCCCCCACCGAATGTATGCTCCCCAAAGGCACCCCCGTGCACGCGCAGCAGCACCTGTGCTCGCACAGCTGTGCTGGCCGCCCCAGGACTTTGCCTGAACCTCAGCCATGTCCAGCACAACGCATGTGTGGGAGCCTTCGCCTCCGCTTCCTTATGAGTTGCTTGGCTCAGGTTTTTTTCTCCTTTTTTTTTTTTTATTATTGTTGTCAGATTTAAAAGTTTTTCGAGCTGCTTCAATTTTCTTTAATGTCTTTTGTTTCTTGATTCGCAGGCAGGTCCAGTAATTAAAGTTAAAATCCCTAAGGACAGAGATGGTAAACCAAAGCAATTTGCATTTGTGAATTTCAAACATGAAGAATCTGTCCCTTATGGAATGAGTCTGCTTAATGGGATCAAACTTTTTGGAAGGCCTATCAAAATTCAGTTCCGATCAGGTACCCACAAAAAAAAAAAAAACCAACCCAAAACTATTAAATAACCTGATTACTGGAGAGAAAGCAAAGCTGCCGCCTTCTTCCCCCCTCCCAAAGTCTGCCCGATTTATATTTAATCCATTAATAGCGTTCATTGCACGTGCTTTGCATCACATTGTCACGCTTACCTAATTGTGGACAGTCTCATGGAGCATTGGGGTCAGAACAGGTCTGTGCACTAGCTGTTTTCTTTTGTCCTCTTGCTACAGCAAGGGACCTTTCTGTCAGCTGTGGCCAGGTATAACCCGTGAGCTGAGTCTTTTGTTTTATTGATGATTATCCTCTATGTACCCTTGGAAGCTGTTCTACACTGTCCCGTTAGTAGTAAAAGTTGCATTTGAGTTCAGCTAAGTGAGGCACGTTGGCCAGAACACTGCACCCGGTTGCATCTTTGCCATTGGGTATTCAAACAGTTGCAGTATCTTGTTTTGGGAATTTGATTGTATGCTTTTGCAGATGACTGATGAAACTCAAAAGCTAATTAAGCATTTGGAAACCATTAGCATCTGACAAGTTCGCTTCATATCCAAGTTACGCTAACTCATGTTTGTTGATCTTATGAAATGTTTGTTTCTCCTCAGGGAGCAGTCATGCATCTCACGATGGTAATTCATCTTGTTCCCCACATGGAAGTGCCAATACAAGCCCAGCCGGCACACCGCATTCAGCATCAAATCCTAGCAGGTAAGACCTATTCTGGTAAGCAAGCATTGGGTCCCTTTTCTTGTAGGCACAGGAGCATAGCTTGAATTAGGAAACAGTATCTGCACAGTTAGCTTTCCTGATTCTCCTTCCAAACACAAGGTAATCTTTCTTCCCTGTGGAGTAAGCGCTTGCGTTCTCAGTACTCTTGGAACTGGGCATTCTTGGTAGCTGAAAGCCTAATGGAAAAAGAGCAGCGCCACCTTGAAAGTGGTTGTTCTCAAAAAGAGCTGTCTGCCAGTTCTTCTGGCCCAAGTGACTTGCCCGTTTAAAAAGCGTTTTGACGTGGCAACAGAAAAGATCCAGTGACGCGAAGTGGGGAGATGACTGCTGTCAAATACATCATGCAAGCACGTCTGCACTATTTTCACACAACAGTAGTAAGTTCCAGCTAGTGTTTGCAGGGTTATTATTTCGTAGGCAGAGTAACGTGACTTGGCTGCACACGCTCCCTTAGACTGCAATAGTCTCGTCCTGAAATTCTTAATCTTTCTTTTTCTGCAGATATGATAGGAGTCCTGATCACATGGTAGCGGCAGGATTCACATCTGTGCAGAGGTCTCCCGATAACCTTCAGAGACAAGCCATGGTATGCTGTTCTCTTACGTTAAAATTGTCAAAATCTCAGGTCACCCACAGACGACAGTTGTGAAAGAACTGCCTCTAATTTTGAGTACTTGGACGTTGCCTTTGATGACCGTATTACATCACAGGAATGTGTTTATGGAGTGTTGAAACAACAATTCCAAAAGGTTTACAGTTCCTGCTGCTCTAAGTGTTTACTGTCTGGAAGCTCTTTGAACTTTAGGTGTTCAGCTATAGATAAAGCCATCGGTACTAGCTGTTCTGAAAGTTAGCAACTAGCCTTGTATTGTTGGCAAGTTTTCAAATCAAAGCTCGCTTGAAATGGGGTGTAAGCAAGGCGCTGTAAAGAATGGTGTTAACAACTGTTTGAATTAAGAAAAAAAAGCAGCTCTGATTTTTTTCTTTTTTTGTTGTTACTTGAATATTAACTCCTGAAAATCAACGTGTTTAATAGGCAGGAAGGAAGTCACTACAATACACAGATGACCCAGAGAAATTAAAAGGAATAACGGGTATCTTGGTTAAGGTGCATCACTTCAGTCTAACGTATACCTTGGAAAGCAACTAACTATGGGCTTTGTTTGATTATATTTAACATAATTGAACAATAACCGAAAAGGAGCAATAAATGGCATTAGCGTCTTCACTTAAGCACAGTATTTGGTGCTGTTCTTGGCACACAGTGCTTTCTCTTGTGTTTACAGTGTGGTTAATGTAGAATGTCAAGGCCAGCACAGGAGGTTAAAATTTGTCAAGCCCTTGCACCAAAGAACGGTTTATGCACTCTGTCAGTCAGGTACCAGGGAGAAAGTCCATCCAACCCACTAAGCCTTTTTCTCTTCCTTTTGCAGATGAATAGTGCTATGTGGCAGCAGCCTCAGTACAGCGGGAAGTTCGATCAGCCTGGCTTTCCTGTCTCAGGGTACCAGCACGGTCATCCATTTAATCACTCGTCAGCCCCTCAAATGCAGTGGCGCCCAGACGTACCTTCAGCACTGCGCAAGACCCGGATGAGTTCCCATCCCTATTTCCCGGAGGGTCGCCATTTCAGCCGCGAGCAGCGTTTTGGGGACCGTGGGCCCGACTACTGCAGGGGCAAAAGGGATGACTACAGCTACGAAGACAGAAGTCGTGACGCTGATCATCATTACAGGGGGAACAGAGATGACTCTGGCTACGATGACAGGAATCGCGATGGCTGGAGCCACGAATACGACAACAGAAGAGAGAACTACAGAGAGGGCAAATGGTGCCCATCGCGGCATTAGCGAGCCTTCAGGAGGCTTTAAAGAACTTGCTGGGAAAAGGAAGTTGAATCTGTTCTTAATTGTATATGTGTATAAAAACTCCCTCAAAGTTACCTTTTAACGTTTGTAAAACCATTAGCAGTGTAATCCTCCAAACTAGCATCTTAATTTTTAATGTGTTAACTCTTCACCTCAGGGTTTTGTGCAGGAAAAAAAAAAAAAACGTGCCACCATTTAAGGGAAATCATTGCCGTTTGCCTGTATTATAAAGAAAATCTGTTTGTATTTTTGTAGTGCAGTTGAAAGAGGAGCCTCTGTATCAGATACGGGCGTATGTCCTTTAAACAGATTTGAAGCAGTATGATGCTTTGTGGCATCTGATATATTTCAGTGTTTTGCTACAGAAACGGTCCCTTTGAACATGTCTTGGAGAAGAGGATTAAAAGTTTTCCTGTAAAATCGGTGGATAACCCATGCTCATTTAAATGTTTTGATAACACGTCTTGATTGATTCGATTTGCCTGCGTGTTTGTTCCTACCTTACGGCTTCTGATACTGATTTTTTCTAAGTGGCTGTAGCAGTGGGCACTTTGGGAGTACCGCTGGTTTTGGTTAACCCAAGCCACGCCGGCAGCAGTTGCCTCTTGACCGCTTCCTTTTTTTCCCCCCCCCTAGGGTTAGAAAAGAGCAAGAATTTATAAAGTGCGTTAAAAATACAACAAACAAACAAAGCCTTATTGTCCGGCAGGCACAGTAATCCTTCGGCGACGTACGCTCCCGACTTGGTTGCGCCGGCGTGGCGTTAATCCAGCTAACGTTTCTGCCAAGCACGCAGGAACTGGGGTGGCAGCTTCGGGTATTCAAATGTTTCG